GGAAAGGTGTAACTATTTAGAACAAGGGTCCAAACAGGAGGCAGAACAAGAGACAACTTAGCCAGCAGTGATACTGGGGGTCCCCAAGGGAGGCAACCTTCTCACTCTGCTGGGGAAAGCTCAAGCAGGGTGGGTGTGGATGTGAGGGGTGAGTTCATTCTGCTCTCACACCTGCCACCTTCTGGGGGATGAATGACAGCCTCTCTCTACCTTTCCCATGGGACATGAGTACACGGACACTTTTACAAATCATTGTGAAAGCTTTACCCTTTAAGTCAGATTTAGCGTTTTGGGAAGATTTTCAAGATTAGAAACTACAAGGTTTTTACTGGTGGCTCATCCCAACAACAAATCACTTTAAGTCTTTAAGGTATTCCTAGTAACAAACTCATCATGGCTCGCTCCTCTGTCCACTCATTATTGCTCAGGGTAAATGGAGGAGCTGAGTCTTTGGACCAGAATCCTATCAGTGGTAACTGGCTTATCTCTGAACTTCCTCAAGAAGCACCAGCTTAGGCTGGGGCAGCTACTTCTGAGGGCATTCTTGCTACCCACAACCTGCATATCACAAGCTGCCTGCACATGCAGTGTTTATTTGGACTAATGGTTGCTTCCCTTCAGCTTGTCGTTAGACTAAATTATGTCCCCACCAAATTCACATGTTGAAGTCCCAACCCCTAAGTCCATAAAATGTGACTGTATTTGGAGATGGGGATCTTTCAAGAGGTAATTAAGTTAACAAAATTTTTAGGATGGCCCTAACCCAGTATGACTGATGTCCTTTTAAGAAGAGATTAAGCCCTGGCTGGTACACCAAAAAGTGGCAGGTTTGACGGCTGGTGTGGTTCAGTGGTTGAGCATCAACCCATGAACCAGGAGATCATAGTTCGATTCCCTGTTAGAGCACATGCTAGGGTTGTGGGTTTGATCCCCAGTAGGGGGAGTGGCAGCCAATCAATGATTCTCATCATTGATGTTTCTATCTCTCCCTCTCTCTCTGAAATCAATAAAAAAATATTTAAAGAAGAAAAAAAAAGGTGATGGGTTTGATTCCTAGTCAGGGCACATGCCCGGGTTGCAGGTTCAATCCCGAGTAGAGGGCATGCAGGAGGCAACCAATCAATGTTTCTCTCTCACATTGATGTTTCTCTCCCCCTCACCCTTCCTCTCTCTAAGATCAATTAAAAAATTTTTTTAAATAGTTAAAATGGTAAATTTTATTTTAAGAAGAGATTAAGACACACACAAAGGGACAAACACATGAGGACATAGGTAGATGATGGCCATTCACACACCAAGGAGAGAGGCCTCAGAAGGAACCAGCCCTCCTGACACCTGGTGTGGATCTTCCAGCCTCCAGAACTGGAAGAAAGTAAATGTCTGTTGTTTAAGCTGCCCTGTCTGTGAGATTTTGTTCAGATATCCCTAAAAAACTATCTGGACTTTCAACCAAGGGGAGGCTGAAGAGTTTGATTTATGCAGAAGTCAATATAGTTTAACCCATAAAGAAATTAAAATGCTTTTTTTTAACTGAAAAACTTATGACAATGTTAAGGACGACTGGAATCTCAAGAATACTCTCTCTTCTGGCACCCTCCCTCCTTTCATCTGTTATCTATCGCACAATGTAGTAAGTCTGCCCAAAACAACCCTCACACCACAGAGGTCACTTAACCACAGGGCAGCACATCTTCCCATAGGATTACTTCAACTGATAATCATGACTGATATCCATTTTATGGATATAATCCTTTAATCCTCCAGAAACTCAATAAGAGTAATGATTACCTCCTTTGGATGGACCAGTTAACTGAGGCTTGCAGAGTTTAGAAGCTGGCCTGGGTTATAGCGAGAGGATTCAACATCAAGTATACCTGGTGCCAAAACCACCTGCCTGAAGCCACCAGCACACTTTGTACAGACATTTAGACATGGCTAGGTGACATTCAAGCCCCAAACCCTGAGACATCAACCTGTTCCCTCTATGAGTTATTTCTGTATTTCCTTGCAGCATCATAACAAGCCTGAGATCAGGGGCTATTTTGCTGGGAAAGAGAGGTTCGGGGAGACAAGTGGATATGGCCACACTCGGCTCCTGACACAGCCCTACTGGGACAGCCAATAGTGCCCAGCTGTCCCCACAAAATGACAAAGCCCAGAAATGCACCCTCACAGAGAAAAGATGGTGCAGCTTCAAAGTCTGCACTGGGAGACAGAGGTCCCTCGGAATGAATGGGGTACCATGAAAAGAACAGACACCCTCAGGAAATTCTGATTCAATCACTCTAGGGAGGAACTCAGACCTTGAAAGTTGTTTATGGTTCCTTAGGGGATAAGAGAGAACTACTGAGGTCAAGAGCCACCTCTAAGTCACAAGGTGGGGTACAAAGGCCGGCCTGCCCCCCGCCCCAGACTCCCTACCTGGGTCCCCGCTGAGCTGGCCTGGCAGTCTGCTTGGGAGCCCAGGGCCCTGGGGCAGGGCCACTGGCTGGGCTTCCTGGCTCTTTGCAAGGTGGCTCTGGGCCTCTGCTGGCAGCCGCTCCTGCTCCTGGTCCAGAGGGCCATCCCCATCGTCAATCACCACGGGGTCCTCACAGTGCTTGAGCTGCAATCCCAGAAAGAGCTTTTCAGGACTCACAGAGAGGTCTCTAGCCAGCAAGGGCCAGAGGCTGTGCAAACTCCCTCCCTTGGCCTACTGACCATCACCTCCACAGCTGATCACTGGAGGCTCAGCCCAGGCCTTGGACAGGGCTGTAAAGGGGAAGGACTTATCTTCCTAGTTAGAGCCTTTAGGGGATATAATCTGCTCTACTGAGAAACCAACACTCATGTGTACTTCACCAAAGCAAGAGCTCTGGAGAGAATTCCTCATCCCTGCCCCGGGAAGGGGAAAGTGTGTGTGTGTGTGTGTGTGTGGAGGCTCTTACCCTCTTTTCCTCCCAACCTCCAGCCAGCCCAGAGCAGCTGCTCCACTCACCCACTGCCAGGGTCTCCCTGGCTCCCTTTCTAGTGCCTCCACAGCAGCCACAGCCTGCTCTCCGCTCTCCGGCTCCTGGGCACGCACCCAGCCCTGGATCTCACGAGGCAGGATGGCTAGGAATTGCTCCAGCACCAGCAACTCCAGGATCTGCTCCTTGCTGTGCCGCTCGGGGCACAGCCAGCCCCGGCACAGGTCCCAGAGGCGCTGTAGAGCCTCACGGGGGCCTGCCGCCTCCTGGTAGCGGAACCGGCGGAAGAGGCGTCGGGAAGATTCGGGGCTGGGAGGCTCGCCCTGGGGTCCAGGGCTCTCTCCCGGTGGGCTCCTCATTTTCCTGGGCTCCTCACTTTCCTTCGGAGCCAAGACTCGGGGACACAGGGCTGTGGGCATGATGGGATTTGATGGGGGTCAGCAGCAGAAGACGACCCTATTTCCAAACAGAAATCACTGGCTTCAATACTCTGGTCTCTTGTAAGTAGGTATGGAGGGTGGTAATGGGGAAAGTGACAAGGCCCAAGGACCAGCCCTTGGGAGAAGCCCTGGGACATGTGAGAAGTGTCAGTGTGACTGGTCCTTATACAAATGGAGAGAGGGAACTGCCACCCCCAGCAGCATCATTGCATGGTCCCCTTAATTGGTCAACCTGACAAACAAGGCAGGGAGTCCGGGAGAAAAGTAGTGTCCTTTCAATGTGACAAAGACATTCCGAGCATCCCAGGACAATGACAGGGCTACATGCAGGAGAGAGAAGGAATTAAGACTCTGTGGTACCTTCGGTGGCCAGATCCTCCTGGAGAAAACCCAAGAGGGCCGAGCTAAGCAGGCTGCTATCTTGGGATTTCTGAGCCAAAGTCACCGTTCCTGCCCTTGAGACCTTTACAACATGAGTTGGAAAGACAAAGACAGATGTTCCAGATAAGAACCATGAAGGCATATTGAGGAAGGGAAACCCACACTGCTAATGGCCAGGGCAGACTACTGGTTCATCTAGACTGCTGGATCCACACAGCCAGAACCAGCTCTGACCCATAGAGTCTGCATTGGGAGACAAGGGTGAAGCACATGGCCGAGAAGATACCCAGACAAGTCCTGGCCAGTTCAGCTGTGTAGGTTGAAGCGTTGGCCCATACACCAAAAGGTGGCAGGTTCAATCCCCAGCTGGGGTTTGTATGAGAGGCAACTGATCCATGTTTCTCTCTCACACCAATGTTTCTTCCTCTCTTTCTCAAATCAATTAATAAAAACATATCCTCAGATGAGGATTAAAAAAGCAACAAAAAATGGGACAGTCAAAAACAAAAAAAAGGGGGGGGGGACAGTTAAAAGTGACAGCCACACCTCAGATTCCAGGAGAAAAGTAATGCTGTGCATTTATAAATACCAGTACTGCCTGGCCGGTGTCCTCAAAGGCTGGGCATCAACCAATGAACCAGGAGGTTCATTCCCAGGTCAGGCTGGATCCCCAGCAGGGGGCGTGCAGGAGGCATCAGATAGATGTTTTTCTCTCATCAATATTTCTCTCTAGCTCTCCCTTCCTCTATCTCTAAAATAAATAATTTAAAAAAAATGGAGTAAACGCCACTACTCAGAGACTATGTGGCCCAGAGAAAGTCCCTCCCCTTCTCTCAGGCCGTGAGATCACTGGGTAGTCACTGGACTTCCATACCCAGATTGTATGAGGCGCCCGGCTTAACCTTAACCCCCAACAGCTCAGGGTCCTAAGGGTCCCATGTGGAATGCAGGCCCCGCTCCAATTTCACAGGAAGACCAGAAGAACCACAAGCCACGGAATAGCAGTCAGAAAAACCCAGTGTCTGGACTGCTCTGCTTTCCAATGGAAAACAGACTAGCAGAAAAGGACTCAAGAAGTCTGGCTGGGCACCTTAGAGCCTGCCCCATGGCAACCTTCCTTCAGTGCCTGCTCCTGCATTTGAAACCAGCCCCCTAAAGTCCCTGAGCTCAGTCACCACACAACGGCAGGGCCTCTGGGTTCCCAGGTTGGCCCCAAACTAGGATACCCAGGCCCCACCCTCAGCACTCAGTGTGCGCTGGGAACCAGCCCTAATCAGACAGTGGCGCTCCTCTTTGTCACCGAGGGACCCGGTGGTAGGAAGCTCGGGAGTGATGCCTGATGAATGAACGAACATGGGATTCCCGTGGAGCGGGGCGGGGCTTAAAGCAGCTGATGGAGGAGGGACAGCGCGGGATCAGCAGAACGAAAGGGAGGGCATTTTAGGCCAGGGGAAGAGAGAGCTTTTCCTCGCTCTCCCTCTCCCGCTTCCCTCCCAGCGCGCGCACGCACACCCCGCGCGCGCGTCTCCGGAGTAGCCAGCTCTCGGCTCCTCACCTCACACCGTCTGGAACTCCTTCCCGGCGTCTAACTCAAATGGCTCCTGCTGCGGCGTTAGTCTCCACAGCCGTTCCTCATCCTTCCCAGCCCGCCTCCCGGTGTCCTTCCCGAGGCGGGCTCTCTGCTGGGCCCGACTCCGTCCCTGGCCAGCCAAGCCACGTCTCCAGCTCATCCAGAAATCCAAGACTCCACCTGGGAGGGAAGAATAGAAAAAAAATGCAGGACGCCGAAAGACGATATCGCCTTATCTCCCTGCCCGCAGAGCCCCGACTGGCTCCGCGATGGGGG